CAGGAATTTCCCCTTTGCTTTGGCTGAGAGTCTGAACTCAAGGGAGGAATTGGTAAGAGCTGAATGCTGTGCCCATTTGAGTTGCTGTGAAAACCCTAGTATTTCATGAAAGGAAGACTGGACCCTGACAAAGATAAGTTACATTACCATTTGCTCCCTTTGGGTCCTTTCTAGCACATACGGTGAATCCAAGGCTACAGCTGCAACAGACCCTGTAATTTACTTTTATTTTATTTTATTTAACTATGGTTGGAGTGTTTGTCAGAATGCAGTTGAAAAGAAGTCGAGACAGGACAAAAACTGTTCAATTTTTGATACAATTAGAAGACCTGTCTTTTTGCGGTGTACTTACCTTCCTTGGATACTTGTAAGGTGCAGTCACCTTCTTGACATGTTCCTGAAGCTCATGAGTTAATTTTTCTGGACAGTGTGATACAAAAGCAGGAGCTAAAACAATGAAGGCTTTGACTACCTGTGCCACAAAAGTTAAGGGACTCCATTAACTCCAGACATGGGAATAAAGGGATACATTTGTTGCCAAAACTGAGTATCAAAATTCAGAAATGCAAAAATTTGAGTTTTTTTCTTCAATTTCCCTTTTCATTGGCTGTTTATTACAGAATGCAATGTTATGAAGGACATATTCTGCAGCACAGGATTTTTTGCTAATTTTCCACTTTTTTTTCTTAACTTTATACACTACTGAAGTTTCAAAAAGTTGTAGAATAGAAAAAAAGACAGCTGAAAATCTCACCCTGGGGCTCAAAGAAATGTTGCAAAGTTGAAAAATATAAAAAGAAAAATTAAACATTCTGGATATCATTGCCACCATGTGCTTGATGACAAAAAGAGAAATAATGCACATTCTATTTCTTAGACAAAAAGATGCCACAGTAAGTCTGAAGAGCCAAACTTTTTTTCCACATCAAACCCTGCAAACAGGGAAATAATTCTGAAATTCTAAGATCTGTTAAGGCATGGTTTTAAAATATTTTTAACCCATTTTAATTTCAAAAATCTGCAACATATTTAATTCCAAGGAAGGCTAGTACATATAGGGAACTTGATGCTTACAATAAAGTGCATTTCTTTCTATATCTTTTTTTTTTTTTTTTTCTTTTTACCTCCCCTCGAATTGGATCAGGACTGCTGACAACAGCTGACTCTGAGACTGCAGGGTGTTGTATTAATGCACTTTCAACTTCAAATGGGCCAATACGATACCTAGGAGAAAATGCAGATATGACAGCCGTAGCAAGCTAGCCATTCAGTTGGTCTTTCCAGATTGAATTTTAACAGGCAACTGAGCAAATCTAAAAGCAACTGACTTACCCAGAAGAATTAATTATATCGTCAGCTCTTCCAACAAACCAGACATATCCTTCTTCATCCATAATCCCTCTGTCCCCAGTGACATAAAAATTTCCACACAGAGAGGCAGCAGTTTTCTCTGGATTATCCTGAAAACAATCAAACATTTCAAAAAACGTATCCAATTGTTAGTGAAATGTAATGCATTTACTTTGCAGTGGTGTTAAAAACGATCAAGACAATTTGTTAAGTTGTTCTCAAAATGAGTATGTTCAATACTATTTTATGTCTTCAATTAAAAAAAACAGAGCTGCATTAATTAGCAGTTTTGTAGTGGAACTATGTGAGAGGTGGAAAAGAGCATTTGTGTGTATATGTATTCATGTTCTAGGGAAAAAAGGTCGCGCTCTATCGAAATGCCCATCCATCACAGAAAACTACTAAAATGTATAACCCACTCTCTTCAGGGAAATGACTTATCATTGCAGGGGGTTGCCACAGTAACTTCCTGTCGGTGGAAACTTTTTACCCCTAACCTTCAAGATCAACATACAAATGAGGTGACCTACAGGAAAAACTTCACTATCTACATTGATCTATTGGGTCTAGATTACACAGGAAAAACATCTTGACAACAGAAGACATAATGAAAAATCGAAGTAATAGTACTGAACCGAAAGAAGTTTTTTATCACGTAATGAGCAATTACTTTGTGCAAGTTGTTGTTTGAGGATGCTACAAATATCCAAATAATACAGGGGTTCAGAAGAGGATTAAACACATAGATAGATTCCCTGAAGCTTATTCAACATGATAATTCAAATGCAGTGGAGAATATCTTTGGAGAATATCTTTATATTTGCCTGATTTTAGTGTTTTACAGCCCAGCACCACCACAGACGAAATACTAGCTTAGATGGACCTTTGACCTGAACCAAAATGGCCATTCTTCTGACACATTTTTTTAAGCCTGTTCTGCTTTCAGTGGGTAGAGCATTCCCATTCGAATAGTGATGTTAGATGACGTACGCCACTTCCACAAAGCCATATGATCATCTACACTTGAGGGTTTTGTGCTGTAGCTTGTCTTTGTGCTGTTCATTTTGTGCACATCGTCTGTGTCACAGGCAACTGTACAAAGGGTTTCTCTGACACCAGAGATACGTGCATGCTGGAATGTGTAACTTCTAAAGATTTAAAAGATCAACCTGTGGGTACCTCTGACAGTGGTATGAGGGAATAAGGTACTTGTGCTTTTTGGAAAGCCTCCCTGAGCTTCCGACATATTACAGTAGCCTTTATGGGCTTCCTTCACTAATCCTTAACCAAGGATAGGAGTGGAATGGAAGGGAAAGGAGTGATGCACTGAACATGAAGCCCATGCCAACTGCCAGGTACAGGTCTGAAACAAGGTACCCCCTCGTTCATGTTGCATCTTGAAGTTATACTCTGCCAGTCAGTCTGTTCCTGGAATAGCAGAACAATGTACTGATCAGGCTCAAAGCCCTCAAGCAACCTAGTGAGACCTTGTGAAGATGCTGGATGAAATTCTGCTCCTTGGGTAAGTCAACAGAACTTTGCCCTGGGTCTTTCTCGAGCTTCTCAGCAGGCACAGACAGACCAACTCAGACTTACAAAGTACTCGGAGAACAGACAGAATGGTCGTGTCGGTTGAACTCGGACAGCAATGTTGCCTTCTTTTCCTGCAGGCAGAATAGCCCCATGGTCATCTATGATCTGCAGAAAGGACATATCATTATTGCTTTGATTAGCTCAGTGAAATATCTGTCATAGCACAGTGCAGGACAGAGAAGGGACATGGACAGCATTCCCTTACTCTTGTACCCACAACTGCAGCTGAGCTCAGATGTGACATATCAACATACCTGCACATCATAAGGGGGAACAGCTTTTCCCAAAGAGCCAGGTTTAATTTCCATTCCCTTCATGTTGGCACATATTGTCACCTGCATAATAGATTTTTTTTTTTTAAATTTGTGCAACATCTTGTAGACTTTATTATTGTTTGCATTAGGCATGACACCTCTTCATGACTTTGTCGTGACAAGGGCTCAATCAGGACTAAAGCACTGTGGTTCTCCAGCACATCAAGGAGGGGTTGAGAGGTATTTCAGGTCAGCCCTGTGGAATGAGATTGTCTGTGCTCAGTCTGAGCCAGTGGGTTCTTCCACAAACACTTAAATTTGCAAGACAGCAGATGTGAAATTATTACAGATCTTATTTCAATAATGGGACAATTAATTTGGGGCCATATCAAGGGTAAGAGGAGAGAATGCCTGAAATCTGACTCTTAATAGCGTTGTTAACGTTCGCTTACAGAGAAGTCTGGGATGTGAACTGATTTAATATTTTCATTAAAACCTCGGACAGGCGAAATTGATACCCAGAGCAAATTATTTTTTTTTTAGTTTTGCCTTTTAAGTAAAGATGATGAAGTGATCTACTACAGTTATTTGGTCTGAGGTAATTTCTGGCATGGTTTTTGCTGGGGGCTGAACTCTGTAGCCATAGTATTTCCTATAAACATTAAAATATGCAGCTAGTTGATTTTGGAACTATATAGTCTTAATTATATATAGCCTCTTTTTAAAAAAGTTCATTTAAATGATTCTCACCTTTTCCATTGATTTATCAAGCACATTGTGCCTCTGGTATTGTTACCTTTGAAAGGGCATACTGCAAGAATTAATGCAAACGTACTGTCTCAGTCTGGCCATAACCTTCATAGATATCCAGCCCTGTCTGGATTTTCCACTTTGCCATCACTTCAGGATTGAGCGGTTCCCCTCCAGATAGACAGTGTTTCAGACTCATGAACTTGTAGCTTGAGAAGAATAGCAAATTAAGTAATTTTCTTAACTTCTGAAAAGCGCAGTGAATGGTCTTAACCGAGCAGCCTCCCTCAACTTTCAAAGTAAGTACGCCTAAAACTTCACAAGCTACTTTGGAAATGACAATAATCATCCTGTTACACAATCCTGGATTGGACTGCTAGATTATGTTACCACTGAGGATAATGGGGTTTATCTCTGTATCACTGGAAGTAGGTTTTTTTGCTGGAAAAAGAGTGAGCAAAGGTGTTTTCTTGGAAGAGCTGACAAGAAAGGAGAAATCTGAACAAGCGCATCAGATGTTTGTGGAAAGCTGAGTTAGTGCTGACATCCAAGATCAAATAAGACCCTGAGAATTTTCTATAGCAAAATGAAGGCTGAAGAGGAACACAGAGCCTGAGCTCTCTGCTAAACCAGGGTTGGCTTTTGTCAGGATGAAAGACCTATGTGAGAAGAATAAGTACCTTACTGAAGATGTGAAAACTCCTTAAAAATCACACTGCCTACTTGTCATAAGCTGAGTATTTTAGTGTAACAAACTGGTGGGAACAGCTGCCAAATAACTCTCACCATGTGAAAGTCCTCTAACTGTTCACTTCATTCTCAAGTATATGGGAACAACTCCACTATACTCCAGTAATTCCAGTGCTGCCTGAAACGTTGACTTAATTAACTGTGGACCATAAGTGCAGAGGAAGTGACAACTTAAAAAAAATCCCACTTGTTTCCTCTGTGCTGTCTTTTCACAGATCCATTCCTGGAGCCTGAATGGCCTAAGGTGTGACTAGTTATTCTCATATTTCAGAACACAGCTTTCTTTTCTGAGAGCAAATTTTTCCAGTGGGCATGGTGGTATTGAGTTGATGGTTGGACTCGATGATCTTAGAGGTCTTTTCCAACCTTAACGATTCTATGATTCTAATTAGATTTTCTTTAACCGAAAAAAATTAAGCAACATAAGGAACTAAACAGCCAGAGCTGTCACAGCATTATATCCCAGCGTCTCTCTGCTACCCCTGCAACAGACAGATGTGCAGTACCTGCTCAAATCATGTCGGACCAGCATGCGGTAGGCAGTGGGAGCACTGCAAAAGGCAGTGATGAGGTATCTTGAGAGAGTCTAGAAAAATAGAAAGTTACTTCGTTGAAAAGAAAATGTAATGGTGGGTCTGACCTTGTAAACGTGCAGGTGATTAACACAAGTTATGTGCTCAAATGTCTGCAAAATGAAAACCATAAAAATGCAACATACATTCAACACAGAGAATGATTATGGATTACTGACTATGAATCCTGAGTACAGAGTGGCTGTGCCAGTCAGGCCCACTGCTGTAGAAAACATAGCACTTTCTGTGCAACAAAAGTCACTCATGTAAATGAATGACCACTGAAAGTAGAGTTCCAATTATGATTGTTTTCTGCTTCCCAAGACGATGTGTCCCAGGCTCAAGGCTAAGTGACAATAGTGAACTAGACCAAAGCTTTTCCAATTTTATTCTTGGGGAAGTCTGGGTCTCCTCTCCACACAAGAAGCCAATGTTGAGGAGAATAGGCCAGCTGACTGTTTTTGTGAAATGGCAGAGAGGAGGAATAGGCATTCTGGCAACTCATTGAAAATTCAGGATAACAGGGCCCTGATTCAGGTCTATGCCATACTCTGATTACTGGCCTACGCTCACCCTGAGCCCAAAGTATCCAGAAGTCCATACCTGAAGTGAGCTTTAGGCTAAGTATGGGACAAGACAGCAGTGATCCTGAGCTCTTTTTATCCTGCATCTTTCACCACATCTCCTTTACACTGTAGCCGTGTCACATGGCCTAACCAGGAGGGAAAACACTTGTTCCTCTAGCTTACTGGGCACCAAAGAGAGGGATGATTGCTTGGGATGTGGGATGTATCATCCCTGCTGCTACAGAGCAGTGGGTACCTATGCACTGGAGCCCAGTTTGTTTGCTTCATTTAGGCAAAATGGAAATAAAACTCACAGTATAAAATGTTACACTTACCTCTGCAATAATGGCTGGGTTAAACTGTGGCATATTGTGTACAAAGACACATGATCCACAGATCCATGGTGCAAAAACGCTGCTCCAAGCTGACTTTACCCAACCAGTATCAGAGGTATTCCACATTATATCTGAAGAAGTCAAGTTCATCCAGTACCTGATGATAAAGCAGAGATGAAAAAAATGCTTCATACAGTATGAGAGATTCAGGCACAGGTCACAGCATAATTAAAGGAAAGGGCAGGAGGCTTCCATTAGAAGATACAGTGTCAGCAAGAGGGGCTCTTTAGAGAGTTTGTAAGAGTTGAAGAGAATCTTAAACATTCTCTTTATTTCCCTTCATTCCCTCCTGTTTAACATTTCCAGCATTTGCTTTTCTCTTGAACAGTGCAAAACATCCTTGACTTGAGTTGCAGAATCTGGATCTAGATCAAAATCGAACAGATCATTTGGACTAGGCTTTCCCCACCTTGTGGATTAGAGACATCAGCTAAATCACAGCTTCTCTAGGAAACTAACCAAATTACTTCTACGGGCACTATGCCACCAACTTCCAACTCAGAATGTATTGGGAAATGTATCCTTTGATTTTCATTCAAATTTCTCACTCCTTGGGAAGCATAAATAAAAGAAAGATGTTCAATGAAAGCAAATCAGCGCCAAGCCACCGATTCAAACTGAACCGTAACTTTTAAAGTATAATGCTATGGTCCAAAGCTGCTTTGGTTCTCAAGGAAGGTTTACATAATACTAAAGCACTTGCCTTTATCTGGTTTTGCTATAAGGATGCTATCCTTATTGCTACTCTGCAGTCAGCCCTCTGAGCAACAGGATACTGTGTTTGATGATCTCAACTGAATCTTCAAGAAACTTTTAATAACGAGGGTTTCGCCGTGAGAGGGGAAAGGTGAGGAAGAAGCAAGGTCCTACACTCATGAAATGCCTACATTTACTGGAGGTTTTATGGTCACATTTTCAATTTCATTGTGATCATGTCACTTAATCAGGACACTGGGAGGAACTGCAAGGTATACCTGCCACTGGTTGCAAATCCGATGCCATAACTGCTGTGGGACTGCACCACCATTTTTGGAGAGCCTGTACTTCCACTAGTAAAATAGATCAGCATTGGGTCTTGACTCCTTGTCTTGACACATTTATGGTCAGCAGATGTCACCCTTCAGAAGAAATAGTATATGACAGTTACTACATTTCACAAACGAAGCAGTATTTTTCAAGGTTTAGCAGATAAACAGGAAAATGGCCCAAAACGATATGATCTCACTAAATAAATAGTTGCATCACATACCAAAGGTAAGAGTTAGCGAGCACATTTTGCTAGTCATAAGTGTGCTTTGTATGCCATAACTTTCAAGATGTGAGCACCTACAGCATATTCCAGTGACTTTGTCTACAACTATTTGGCAAGGGCACTCAAGGTGCTTGTTACAGAACAGCAGGTAGATGCAAAACCAACTTCTGCCTCAACACATACCGACTCCCCAGTCTGAAGTCAGTGGGGGCCCATATGCAGGCTATTATGCCAGGTGAGGTGGTCTTAGACATGTGTTATACCATTTATATTCAAGAGACTGATGAACAATTCAGATTGTCTGGGCTACCAAGATATTCAAGGGAAGAAATAACTGATGCCATGTTAGCTGAGCACTGAGAGTTGGCAATGGGTATCTTCTCATTGAATTCAAGAGCCATTAGGCTGCGCTTTAGAAGACAAGCACAAAACAACTGCAAGATTAGTACACTGTGTGCTTGTCTTGTGATCACAGTAGAAGCAGAGAGCTTTTAAAAGCTGGCAGGCTGCTAAGTAAGGAGAAGCTGAAAGACCTGAATACAGCTCCCAAAAAGTGTGTTGGAGGGATTTGTACTTAATGCAGTGATTACAGTGAGTTGGCAGAGGGATGCAAAAATGTGACTCATTTGTATTTTGGAAATTAATCCCAAAACTCAGCAATGTCACTTGACTGATACAGCTTCCTTCACCACACAGGGATGATGGTAAAACAGCTGGATACTCACGCAAAGAGTTCTTTGAGGTTCAGCCACCCATCTCTGCTCCCTTTGGCTACAATTAGTTTGCTTTTCAGAAACTGGCAGTCAGGCATGACAGATTCCACTGCAGGTGCCAGTGTATCATTGGTAATGATACACTTGGCCTTCGAAGCCTGGAGTCGGTATAAGATGTCTTTGGCTGTTAATTGGGATGTTCCTGGAATAAAGACAATTCCTGGAAAAAAGCAACAAGCAATTTAGAAAATTGACCATTTCTCTTTATTATGTTCACAGGACATGACCGCAGCCACAGAAAAGCTGAACTACTTGCCAAAAACTTACTATTTGAGAAACAGGAGTGAAGTATAACTCATGTTCGAAGGCAGAGCTTGGGTGATTTGTGGCCTAGGAATGACCTGGGATCATCTGGCTCTGAAAGACCTCCAAACCCTGCCACACTGATGTTGAGTTTTGTGTCATCCATATTAAAGGTATCTATCATGAGTAAGATCTAGATTTAAAGTGGTTTTGAGCACTTCCTTCATGATTCATAACTCAGGAAGGAAGCGTTGAGATTATCATCCCCTTAAGTATATGAATAAGGCCAGCATTTGGGTTATGTTTACATCTGGAATAAAGCCATTATTCATTTCAATAAGGAATTAATACCTCTGACATGGGATAAATAGATTGAGGTCAGATAGCTTACATACATTGCTCAGTCAACATATCCCTCAAGCCTGGATTCATTTTGTAATGTGAACAAGCCTAAGTTTGGATACTGAGTACAATGTGACTGAAATCACATTTTCGGGGGGG